TTTTCCAAGAAAATTTGGCCAGTCTAGACACAGCCTACTAGTATGACTAACGTGGCAGGCCCGTAAAGCAAGGGCACAGGAAGGGCGGTGCGTCCTGATTGCACACAGCTTTGGTTGTGAGAGCTGGGTGCTCCCTCTGCATCCAATCCAAGTGCTGCTACAGTTCAATTGGCCCCGCCCTGTGAATTCTAGCGATGCAAGCGCAGGTAGAACTACCCCGTCCTGGGAGACCATCTTGGTTACAATCTTATGGCCCCCGGCTCTGAGGAAAGGCCTCTCATGCGGCCTGCTCGCTCGCTTAGGGTGCCCATCGCTGCTTTCAATCAGAGTAGTTTGCAGAGGGGGAGGAAGGGCTACGGGCAGTTTGTTCTCAAGGCCCATTTAAAAATGCAGCCCCTGGAGCTGTTCAAAGGCCAACAGCAGCGCCCCGCTCGCTCGTTTTGAAAGCTCTGCTCCATCCCAAGGCTGGGGGAGAATCAGCCCCAGAGGAGGTAATGAAATGCCCTTCTGGCTTCAATTAAAGCAGGGGTAAGAACTCTGATTTGGGTGCCTGCTTAACAGCCCTCGTTCCCCTGTAAATCAAGCTGTCGTCTTGCCTGTGGGAGTGTCCTACACAGATGCACCAACTGCCTTTAGGCCAGACTTACACCAGCGCCCACCCCTGGTTCTGTATAAATCCCTCAGATCGCTGGTCAGGTAACTGCTGGTCCGTGGCAGAAGAGCAGTAAGACGCGCACAGCCAGGACATGGCAATGCCACTCAGCAAATGCAAAGGCGTGTGAAGCCGGAACAAAGCAGGAGCCTGGCATTCTTGTAAATGGTGCTGCCAAGGGCCACCAGCAGGGGGCGCTGGCGCCCCTGAGTTCCAGAGATGGCGTCTCCAGCCGGAGCTGGCGACCCCAACGAGACGGCCTTGAGCACTTTGTGTGGGTTTGGCCTGGAACAAAATCCAGTTGAGTTCCTAACCGAGACGCCCGTCTCTAGCTCAGGGCTGGCACTAAGGGCATGGGGGAGAGGGGGGTTTTCCTCATGCACCTTTTAACCCTTCCTACCGCCAGGTCCTAGGACAGGACACAGCCCCGTTGTCAGAGCAGATGGGGACGGAGCAGGCAGGGCGCTTCACTGGCATCTCTTCCTTGTGAGCAGCTGGCAGCTACCTGCACCGCGGCTTCTGTCGACTGCTACCCGCCAAGCCCAGCCCTGCGTGCTGGGGCATTGGTCCCGGACAGACCTGGGCAAGGATTCGGAGGCTGAACAGCTTGGGCTGCGACGTGCCTCCTTGACAGAGAAGAGAGCGAACTGGCTGACACTTCCGCACGATGGCTCCTCTCGATCCTCCTTGCTCTTCCCTGTTCTCCGTGACGTCCAGAGGGGGAGGATTCCTGGAGTCCCTCCATCCCACGCTGCCTGGGCTGGTCAGTGTCGGGATTTGGGGGAATTTTAGCGAGATTTTCTTTCATGGGATCTGAAGAAATGAAAGGCTCGGCTCGCTGCAGGTGCACACGCCAGAGCAAGGTTCGTGTGGGCTGGAAGTGAAGGCCAGTGCCCCACCCGCTGCACCTAGAGGACAGGGGCTGGCGGGCTGAAGGAGCTCGGGGCGGTCACAGCTACGGTAGGATTAAGGTCACGTTTCCACAAAGGTGGTCGAGGTTTGCCTCGGTCCGAGTGAGCGTGGCCAGCAAAACGCCCCCATGAAATGCATCGCCTGGGAGCTGGCTACCTGCTTGGAGCCCTCCCACATGCAGTCATGAGCCTTGCCCCATGCAGGGGAGACAGGACACCGCCACCCCTCCCTTCAGAGGGCTCCAGCCAATGCTCTTGGGGTGTCTCAGCTCCAGGGCCGGGTGGTGCACAAGCCACACGGAC